GATTGATAGCCATTCCAACAAGAGCAGTTGGCACAAGCTGTGTTAACCAGTGGTTTGAATCAATTGACCGTTAGGAACAACAGTTATGACTTTTAATGGAGCTCCTGGTGCCAGAATGATAAATTGGTTAGTAGCATAGGAGCGTGCAGCTACAGTACCAGGTTGACCACTGACAGGGACGTCAGTTGCCATCATTGTTGGTTGTTGGATATAAGTTGGCTGTTGAGCTGGTTGTAACTGATGAGCTTGTGCTTGAATCTGTTGTTGTTGAGGTGATTGGGTAAACTGTTGTAATTGAACAGTTGTAGGACCGGCTTGAGTAAATGGAGTTGCAGACCATTGTAAGAGTGTTTGCACACCTGTAGACAATGCTGAAGCTTGAGGACAGAGAACTGGAATTGAGGTGTTGCATAACAGCCAGCTGCTACAGCTGCTTGAGTATCAGGGTGAACTGGGATAGCAGTCGCTGTGCCGCTAGGTCCGGAGGTACTTTTAGCAGAAATATCAGTAATTATACATCCAAATGTTATGAAGTTATAAAAGTTAATGCGACGGCAAAGATGATTTATTCCACTGTGTATACTTCGAAATGATGTAGTCCATCAATCAGCTATGTCGGGCTCGCCAATTTGTTGCTGCTGAATTTTGATTAAACTGGCATACACGTACATCTTAGTACTTCCTCGCGTTTATGATTGTGCCCTAACGTTGCGATTACTCGACATCCGCAACGTAATTCAAAAGGCACTTGCGAAGGAATACGATAGTGTATTATTGCAGCAATAAAGATTCAAAAATCGAGTGAGTACAAAAGTATCAATTGTTAACATGCAAGATTTAGAGTAATAACAAATCAAAGTACAATTACATAGTGAAAGTATACTGCGATGATGAGTAATAAAACGGGTCACTACAATATGTCATGAAGCCAGGTTTCTTGAAGAGTTATAATACCTGCATTGTGGTATTAAGTGGAGGGCACTGGGATTGCAAACAGTTAATTTCACCTGGCATAGAACTACTTTTTGCTCTCATAATCACAGGAACGGTCATTTGTGGTATTGGAATAAGTTTCAAAGCGTGCTACCACCCAAAACGGTGGTTCTTCTTGCGTTTTGGGCAAACTTGCAAGTCCACAGATTTTACGCACTTTAAAATTTTGCGGGCGTAAACAATGAGACTGGAGGTCAGGTTTTCACTGGGTTGATAAGTCAAAACACACTGAACACGAGAAATCAGATGCAATATTATAATGGATGAATTTTTGGTAACCCAAGGCTTCAGCAGACCACCATTTATCAGCCTCGCAAACGCTGTAGCCCAAGTAAAAGGTAATTCCAGCGCTGGAGAAAATTTGACCTAATCCATAAGAGTTCAAACAGAATGATCTGACGCAGAATAATGGAAGCTCAGAAAAAGCCTGGATGAACAACTTTAGATGGGACGACTGGTATTCTCGAAGTGAATTTAAGGCTGAATGTAACTTATGGATTCGTCTTTATTTTTCTCAGTTGTGCCACAATGACCTACCAAAACCAAAATAAGTGCTCCTTCGGGAGTCCTAAGCTACTTTTCTGGAAAAGGTTGAAAATCTTGTCTATTAAACTTCAAATTTCTACCCTTTGATGACTGATGCCTCGTGGTAGTCCATAATAACCAAATGGCAAGCTTCCTGTATTGGGTGACTCCAGTGATCATTTGTTCTGCGAGCATTCATAGTCTCCAGAGTTCTGGCAGAGTCTCTGGATAGTTTTGTCTAATATTTTCTTGGTTGTCTTACGAGGCAGTATCAGGCCGCAATTTTGTCTGACCCATATGCACTTACCGTCAGAAGTTGAAGTCTAGCATCAAGCGGCCATATGTGCTGGGGAAGTCCACTCTAAAGTGGCTTTCATTTCTACTTATTCAAGCTTTGAACGTAATGTGCTCATCTGGGTCGCAATTATGCCGCTTGCTTTACATGGAAATGAATATGAGAAGCAGATAATTTATGTGAACTAGCGTACTTCTGAGTCTGCACATAAATCGTATATTTAAACGGTTAAACTGCTTAGATGTACAAAAATGAGATGGCTGATTGTGCCTTACCATAACCCATTATGCTAAATCTAAATCCTAACCACAATTTAACCTTTAAAACTAACTCTTCACCCATATATAATCTCTATTCCTCATTCCTAAAACTTATCTTACCGTTAACCTTAACCCCAGAATTTGGAAGCAGACTAGTCGAATCGGCAGAAAGCTCATGAGGTAAAACTTACACCGCATTTATGACTAGTGATATGACTGCTCGATCAAAGTCACTCGGTAGCTGTTATCGAAATAGTTATCGCCGTTTCAGAGTCACATGCGCAGACTAAACGAAATAAAGAGTACAGAACAACAGTCACTCCAGAAAGTGTCTTAAGTAAATACAGAGCAATAAACTTCATTTGATAAGACGCATTATTGTTCCCTTGGGTTGCAAGTCTAATACGGGGCACACCTCCTTCCTACCCTATTTTATACATTCCTTTTTAGCCACATCCACAATCGTCTGTGATCTGTCATTCCCTCCTCATATGATATTCTCCACGACACCTACGGACACACTTCAAACTTAATGATTCCCACTCGGGTTTCACTCGACGGCTTAGTATGCACCGTCCCTTAACCATCTCTTCAGAGCCTTATCTGTCCACTTCAGTTACTTGCTGCGTATCTGTTGGGTAAAGGTTTCCTAACTATCTGAGCGCCATTTCCTCTATCCTCCACTGCAACTGTCTGATCTTCAGTAAGGAGTGAATATGGGTGTAGGTAAAATTCTGCAGTAGCCTGTTGGAAATGCTTCACGTGATGCGCACGCCACGTCTCTGGAGAACTGCCTTAATTTTGGTGTAAAAATTTCTGACTTTTATCCTTCTGCTGGATACAGTAGACTTCGACACTGACTTCAGTGTAATCTGTCAGAATGTGCTCAAAACAGATTATCTCTTCCACCGTTTTGACAAACTTCTGTTTGCTCTCTTCTAAAAACTTTTCTGGCGGGACTTTGAGACCAGAATAAAGAATAGTAAGTAAGTCGAAAGATTTACCAAAGCACCTCATTTTATCCACTAGCCACTGTCTCAATTGCTTCCACTTTGAATATATACGCACTGAGCCATGAAAGAACAAGAAAACAATTCAGTAACTAGAAATGTGTCTACCGACGTCATCTTTATACACTCGTAGCGGTAAATAATTCCCCAAAATTATTGACCACAGCAATCATCACTGAACACCGGATGCTAACCCTCACTGTTTCACTCGACTTGTTTAGCTGAAGGCTCATGGTCAAGCATCCTTGACATTTGTTACTCCGTCGTGTCACGTTTGTGCACGATCACTAGCCAGCTAAGCATTCACCTCAGTCTACGATTTTGTCCCAAAATATATCTTGTAGTTTGGACGATCAAATATTGTCTTTTGCTTTGCCTTTGGTCCAAGAGGAATGAATACTATAGAAGTTGTTGGTATAAGATCTTGCGTCAGTATACTCCGTACAATTCGCGAACGTCAATACTGTCAGCCTACAAGCAGTACACAGTAGTGTTTACAATTATCATACGCAAATATAACACATTTATATGTTTATGTACCTAAAGATGAGTTTGCCGATAAAGAAAGCTTTCCGTACTGAACTGTTTTCCATCTTTTCCACCCAGATCTTTCTTCATCTAGAATTCGGTTCAAAAACTGGTGCATGATTAGCCTATAGGGTTAAGTTTCACTGGAATTAATGATTGTATTTAGGGTTAAGTGAGGGTCCAGATAATGATATCGGATTTCTAGCACACTTAGCAAACCTAAATTTTTAGGGTCGCTGGCTTGACTTAATCACCTTTCATTCATCAAGTCATTTCAAATATTTTCCTCAGAACTTCACATTTTATGAACCTGTCACAAGTTTCCAGGAGCGTAATGGCCACTCCTTCTGGTGACCTCGAACGTAACTGACTGTCTCCGGAGATTTTTACAGCCCGTAATACACAACCAACTACCTGGGGAAATCCAAACCATAACTGACCGCCTCCATTCTACCTATACAAATATAGTAAAAGGAAAGTGCAGCAAGTGTGACTTGCAACAGCTTGTACCTCCACACCACATCTCTTTCCTTGCGTATTCTAGGACTGAAGTTTCGTGAAACAGTTGCTTGGTAATTATAACTACAAGACACAAGGACATGAAACGTTTTCAAAACTTTATTATTCCTTCACGTTGCCAGTGGAACATAAGGCTTCAAGCTAGAGTTTTGAAGTTCCAGCACCAGTGGTATTTATTTTTACGGGATGGGTTTGCTAACCTCGCGCCCAACCTTCCCTCCTTACCCGTCCTAATACTAGCTTAGCGAAGTAAAGGAGTGCGTCGGCCGAGGATGGGAAGCCGAACCACCACCTGTGTGGCTGGCAAGCATTCCACCGACGCTTTTTTCAAAACCTATACCTCTTCAATTCACGCTGACAATATAACCTGGACCCAACAACATTAGTGAACCACATTAGTAGATGTCACCCTTTTCAAGTTAATAAGAAAAACAAACAGGTGTATTGTGGCTTTCAATTATAATTTTATTCAAGTTAATAAAAGGTTATATAACAAGAAGAACTCATTCACAGTGACATATTTGCTCACAAAATGAACAGTGATATATATATGCATGTACCTAAATAGTCTGAGTCTAGAGTGCTAATTATGTTATACAACACTTCGGCAATCAGCAGATATCAACGCACGCACACGCACACCGACACACAAACACTCACGCAAGGGGGTTATCAAATATGTGTGTGTGAGTGCATGTATGCTTGCGTGTGTGTCTGTGTAGTATGTAAGCAAATGTCAAAACAAATAAGTTACATGATTTCTTTTTCAAAGACTAGAAGAAGTGGTATTGTAGGTGTCAACAAATAAAAGTGTGTAAAACGACTGTCTAATACAATGTGTTCATCACTGTGTAATATATTAGATATCTATAATAATAATAATAATAATAATAAGGAGAAGAGGCATCAGTGACAGAACCAAAGAGACTTTGTATTAAAGTACAGCTGTTTATTTTCTGGTGTGTGTGTGAGAGTGTCTGTGCATGTGTATAGAGAAAGTAAAGGCATTAAAGCGATGCAAAAGCGGCACTATATCCAAAGAGGACGGGGAGGAGGAGAAGGCGGAGATTCAAACCAATGGTAATATACACAAAGAGCCGAAGAAAAGAGATGTGCATATGTGTGATCATTTAAAAAAAGACACATTAGATGTAAAAAAAGAAGAAAGTTGATTTCCGCACCAGGATTTTCGTTAACCAGTAAAACAAAGGCAATTATATTGAACATTTAACTCTTGACAGGAAAATCCCGTATAACAACAATAATAGAATGTGTCAAATATCATTAAACAATCCATCTATCAGATGCTAATTTCACCAAAAAACCAAAAAAACAGATGCTCCTGAGTGTTTTTGAAACCAAAAGAGAAAGAAACACGCAGATATGTTTATGTGTAAAAAAAATGGCGTAGAGCAGAGCATTTACAAACCTTAAGAATCCTATTTTGTTTTTGTGTGTGTGTAAGTAATAAGGCTTACTTTAGAATGAATTAAGAAGAGAAGGTGCGGGAGGCCGCGAGGGGGGAGGTGTCGTAGAAAACCCAAAGAAACACCATTTTGAAGAGAAGAAGAAGATTCTTCCTGACTTTATTGTTCAGGACCACACCACACCACTAAACTACACGGAAAGTCACACAAACATATATGCATATGTGTAGTATAATGTTTGTGGAAAAATCGATGTGCTGTTAATTTCTAAAAGTGACAACTTAAAAACAAAATGGAAATGTAGTTTCAAACAAAACACGTTCCGTTCGTTCAATTGTCAAGTATTCAATGTCCAATGTACACAAAGCGATGAAATTTACTGGTCATTTCTATTCTTCTCTTTTTGTCTTCCTTTCATTCAAAGGTTAAAAGATACAGGTGATCAGTGGGAAAAAAGATAATAATTAATAACGATGAATGCTATGCTATTAAAAATAAAAAAGGGGAAACATTGGGATCACACAGAGATCTGCAAACACACACGCTTATTTGTATACGAGATGAAGCATACAGGATTCTTTCTCTGGCTACCGGCAGCTACTTTTCTCCTTTCTTTTTCTTTAAAACTAGTAAAAACCAATTTTCGAGGTGCTGGTGGTAAGGGGAGGGCGGGAAAGCATTTTAAAAGTAAACAAATATCACATAGGTACATGTATGTATGTATGTTCGTGTGTATATGTATTATGTAGATGTGTATCTTCTATCTATTCACAGATGAATCACGAGCTTGACGTGCACTATTCCCGCCTGGTGTTAAAGTACTACCGCCGCCACCACCACCACCAGGAGCAACAGAAGCACGATTATATTTATCCACTATACGTTGAAGTCGTGCATTTTCTGACTTTAAATCTTCCAATTTTGATTGGACTTCACGAAGCTAAAAATAGTAAAACAAAAAGAAAACTTGTTAATGTAAGTGTAGAATACTTGGCCACTTCGGTGGAAGAATGTAATTCTATTCCATAATAGATAAGTTTATTTTTAAATATCAAACACAGTGATGATGCAGTATTAACAACTGGATGATAGACAAGGTTTCGAGCATACACCATTTCCACTCATAATCACGAATTTTAGTCACATGGTTTCACAATTTGTCTTATATATATTTGCCCTACTTTTGTCTCTCCAACTTACCTTTGTTGTTTGTTGCCACTTTCCATATCCCCGGGTACAGGAGTTGCGTCATTCCGATTGCACGCGTTGATTGCGGTGTTGAATCGATAAACAAAGCTTTAGTGATTAACCTCTCTCTCCCTCTATCTCCACCTAACTATATTCCTTCTTAATACTTTCACCCTGTACCACCCACCCGCCCTATTTTGTGATTACATGAAAGTGAATGCAGTGCAATGCAATGAGTGGGATTTTTTTCTTGGTTATTTAACTTAACAGGGTCAATCATCCTAGAGGTTTAGCTAGCTAAATGTTTATGTTCCGATAATCTAGTTGACCCTGATCTACTAGTTTCACCTAACCACACACAGTCATTACATGGTATTTGTTAAATTATATTATTTCTCTTAAATTGGATCTATTAGGTCCTTAAGCCGACAAAGTTTATCTTCGAGAGAGAGAGAGAGAGTTGGTTGGTCGGTCTAAATGCCAACCTAATTCTAGCCTCAGTGAGAATCCTATGTGAAGCCTCTGATATTCCTCCTCTCTATACGACAGTAAAACAGAGGCTCCGAGGCTCTATATTATTCTCGTTATTTTTACTGCTAATCTTAGTTTTTCTATGGTTGTTCATATAAATTTTTGAAAGAACAGTTATCAGAAATATATTTGAAAAAGTTACATGATTTAAATCATCAAGTGTCTGCTTTACAGCGATTCGACCAACCTCAAGTACGATCACAGATTGCTTTCAATCAGTCCAGTTTGGGACTCTTCAGCAGTACGCACCCACCGCCAGGGTTCCAGCCCAGGACCTTTCGGTTATAAGGCAACCTCGTAGACCGTTAGGCCATTGGGATTGGATCCAATGGCCTGCCCATGAATACTAACTTCTGCTTATTAATGACATAGTGCAACTACTAGCCAGTGTCGTCACTGGCGAGTATTTGTCCTCACGCTCGAGCTGCTGTACCCTCTCACTGGTCAACACTTCTCACTAGAACTCCAGATAATGAACTACCTTTCCAATGGTTCTCTAACCGATGTCAGGCTATGATGAAATCCTGTAACCAATCAATCAAATCCTTACAAACCAATGCTTGAATATGAATGAGATCCTCACTAGCGACTGGTCCTAGTCAGGTAGATAGTTAATTAGCTGGATTCTAGTGCAAATTCGTGACCAGTAGGATACAGCATGTCGGGCGTGGGGACAAATACTCGCCAGCGATAACATTGGCTAGATGTCGCGCTATGTTGTGAATTGGCAGAAGTTTGAATTCAAGGGCTGGCTGGCCACTGGATCGGGTCCCTGTGGCTTATGGTCTACGAGCTAGCTCGCTTTGTAACCTTATATATATATATATATATATATATATATATATATATATGTTTAGCGAGTATGAATCATTCTAGCTCTGGCTAAATCCCTATGTTCCCATAATCTCAGTGAACCCAATCTATTAGTTTGATTTGTCAGATGTTTATCAAAGGTTACTTCCTTGACTTATCTGGCTAGGAAGCAGGATTTCAACTACAGGCAGTCGTCACGGATGAAGATGTCACAGTCCGCCAGCCAGCCAGAATCGATAAGGCAATATACGCCTTCATCAATCTGAAACCAGTTTACGAATCTTCTTCACTCCGCCGCAGCATAAAGAACAAGAACCAGATTTTCAACACAAATGTGAAGTCAGTCAGTCACTTCTTCTATACGGATCAGAAACTTGCACTGCTTTTCACTCACGAAAAGCACCTCCAAAAACCTGCTGCAGACTTTTATAAACAGTTGCCCACTTCGCTGGCAGCATACTGAAGATGAAATGTCCGGCTGGCCAGAGAGAAGTAGCAACAAGAAACTCTGACAGTGAAAGAACCAACCAAGAGCCGATTGCTCAACAAATATGTAGGAGAAAGTGGAGATGGATGGACCACGCATACATTGAGGAAGCCGCCGAATGACATCACACGCCAGGCTCTCGAGTGGAATCCAAACGGGAAGCGACGAGTGGGTCATCAGTGCTAGGGGTGACATGGAGAAGATCGTGTGGCGAGGAGGAGGAGATGAGAGATTACGGGTAATTGTGGACCCGGCCAACTGAAGAGGACAGCAGAAAATAGAACAAAGTGGAGATGTGTTTTTGAAGCCGTATGTTCCACTCGGAACCCAACGAAATACTAATAAATATTATTAGTTTGATCTATGTTATTGACCTCACCGTCTTAAGATAGTATTTAGGTGAATCTATCAGGTCCTCTTCAGCTGAAAAAGTTTTTCTCTGAACAGAGGGTTGACATTTTGCCATCGCATTGTACATTATATTTTGACAAAAGCTAAACAATTCCTGCTACCAAAACATTACTGGATTCTACCATTACAACTAGACTTTGTATAAAATTACATCAAACCATTATAATTACTTACACGTTCAGTATTTAATCGGTAGGTATTTATTGCAACTGGGTTTTTTTCTTCAGAAAATATCACTTTGACTATTAATATGCTATACGCAACCGATAGACACGCTAACACACACACAAACTCACACGCAAATACAAGGAGATTTCTTCAGACACATTTGGCATTTCCAACATCACTTACAACTACAGTTATGAATTACAACTGTCTACTGATTAAACACCAAAAATAAATAGTAGTATGTAAATTATTTCGTCTAGACATCGGGATTCACTGTCTACACATGCACACACACACACACACACACTGCTATCTACTAATTATAATTAACACTGGAGAACCAGAAATGAGGGGAAAATATAGCTGGTTTACATGAATCTTGCGTCGGTGGTATAGCGGTTAGGACGCTCGCCGACCATGCACATGGTCCGGGGTTCCATCCCCGGTCGACGCACTCCTGTACCTCGCTGAGCCAGAAATAATGCTGGTAAAGAGGAAAGATTGGGCATGAGGCTAGCCACCCCATCCTGTAAAATAAACACTGCTACAGAAACTTCAAGCCACTAGCTTGAAGCCATATGTTCCACTGGGGAACGCGAAGGAAAAAAAAAACCAGAAAAAAACATGAATCTTGATTTCAGAGGAGGCTTTAACCTACGGTGGTCCATAAGATAGAAGCAGTTCAACGTCTTTAAGAAGAACATTCTTCACAGCAACGCTAAGAGTAATGTGTTCTCGAGTTACTCAGTAGCATGAAGAAGCCTAGAGAAGACATGATCTTAAGCATCTGAATACATCTATGTGGATATATCAGTTCACCTGTTCTTTTGAGAGCCAGGTATATTCATTGTTCGACGCGTATCCTGTTTAAAAGGGTTTATTCGAGAACGCTATCCCACCGGGATGGTTGCAGAAGAGTAGTAGTAGTACGGCTTCTATAAGGAGTGTGATAATTGAACGAACATTTTGTCGACCGACACCAGTCATTCAACTTTAACGAACTCCTCCTTTAAAGAAATCTACAGATAAAGTCAACAAGCAAGCTGCCAAAGACAACAATACACTTTCGCCTCCTTTGTATTACTAAAGCACACTAGCTTAGAAAGTCAATCCAAACTGGATAAGTATCCTGATGATGTCACCTCCAACTGAGTTTATAAATTTACGTGCACTTACTAGAGCACGTACATTATGAGGACAGAAAGAAGGGCTTCTATCCAATGATTTCTGAATGTATCCCACGAAACTTATGTCTAAAAGTAAGCAGATATTCGCACAAAGTGGAATTACAAAAAGACACCTTATCGACACAGTTCATTTAGTCGAGATTTCTAAGTCTTTCGAAATATTTACTACAATTTGCAATCAGGCGTTTCAGACCAAATTTATGCAGACAAAAAGAGAGTATAATCAATCTTTCACTCACTAGCCCTTCATAACTGCATTTTGATTACGTTGATTAGTGACTTCAACTCAATGAGCAAATTTTCACTTTTTCTAGTTGCCATGTAAACCTAAATGCTAACACTGTTTATTGGATTTTTCTGTTTTTGCTATCTTCTCCCTAGCCGCCTACTTCTTTTTTCTATTTTCAAAGCATATAAATTGATGGCAACTTAAACTAAAAACTTGTTATGCTTTGCATTTCGGATGTATTGATTTTTTATAGCGTTTTCTTTACTACGATCATTCAAACTTGAGATGTATGTTATCAGTATTATTTATAACCATTGAATAATTTCAAGCAGTTTGCAGCAGTTGATGAGGAGAACCTGTGAAATAGGATGATGCCACTTGCTACTGCGGACTTATATCAACAGCTGCCACCTTCGCTGGTTCGATACTGAAGATAAGATAGCCAGTGGAGAAAATTAGCAACACAAGAAACTCTGGGAGAGCAAAATCAACTAATGACCTATAATGCTCAACAAATATGTCGTAGGGAAATGGAGATGGATCGGACAACACACTGAGGAGACCGTTGGGTGACATCGTCTGCAAGGATATAAGAGCGGAATTTGTGCACTGTGGTGGGGCATAATTCCATTGTGGGTAAAATTTATTTTGGTAAAGTCTCACAGTGTTTGTTATACAGTGAGTAATGTTTACTGATTACCACATTCCCAGCACAATTTATAGCCACTCATAATCATATCAAGTTACTCACTCACACAATTTTCTAACTTCCTTTTCATCGCTTGACTTGATTGGTAGTAGTATTTTCCATATTTCCGGTATGAGTGATGAGTCATTCCTATTGCACGTGTTGCGTGTAGATTATTCAATGAACAAAGATTCAGTAATCAACCACTGTCTCTCTCCACCTACCTATATTACTTTTT